GGTCATGGGAGGGGGTGGGTGGGCAGGATGCGGCTGCCCGCGGGGAAACCTCCCCTTCCCCGGGGCGGAGCGGGGCTCCCTCCCTCCCTCTCTCTCGCTCCTTTTCCCTCCTTCTCCCGCCGTTGCCGCCGCCGGAGCGGAACCGAAAGCGAAGGCGGCGCCGGGCGGCCCCGCGGCGGCCCCGCGGCCCAGGTCGGTGCGGAGGCGGCGGCAGCGGCGCGGCGGGAGCGGGGACAAAGCGGCGCCTCTGGGCCCGGAATCTGCCGCGACAGGCGGGCGGGAGCGGCGGGCTCGGGGCCGGCGGGCTCGGGGCCGGTGTCGGAGCGGGGATCGGTGGTTTAACGTCCCCGTGCGGGAGCCGCGGGGCCCGGGGATGCTGCGGCCGCCGCCGCGCACACGTGTCCCGGTCCCGGTGCCGGGGCCCCGGCTGCGGCTCCGCGGCTCCGGGGGCCTTCGGGCAGGTGCCGCCAGGCCCGGGGACCGGCGGCCTCGGGGACACGCGAGCGGGGCCGAGCCCAGCGGCGCGGGGGGGTCTGCAGAGGAGGGGGTGGCGCTGGGGACACGGGGGGGACCCGGGGCTGCGGCTTCGCTTGGGAGCGTGGAAGGCAGGGAGGCTGTGGAGGCCCGTGGGGAGCAGGGAGGAGATGGAGGCAGCGCCGGAGGAGGCCGACACGAGGCCTCGGTGCCGGCCCCGGGATCGTGTCCCCACATCCCAGCCCTGGCAGCGCGTCGTGCTGGGGTGCGGGAGCCGCTGCGGGTGCAGCCCGGCGCCGCTATCCCCGTGCCGCTATCCCCGTGCCRCTATCCCCGTGCCCGGCCAGAGTGATGGCACCTGAGCGGGGCTCCTCTGGTGCGGCCGGCGCTTGGAGCTCGCGCTGCCTATTGGGACACCTATTGTACGTCATTTAGGCAGTATCAGGCGCTCTAGCTCAATGCAAACAGTCTGTTTGGCTTCCTGATACTATAATGCCTTCGTTTTGATTTTTGCTTTCTTTGTTGCTCTTTTAATTCTTTCCACGTTGCTCTGGGTGGGCCGCATGAAAGACAAAGGTTTCCGTGCTCATCCCGGCGCCCGCTCCCTSTGCCGGGTTATTTCGGGTGCCCTCGGCTTGCAGGGAAGCTGCTGAGGGATTTTTTCCATCAAAAGTCAGGCCTGGCCGGTGACTAAGAGCTTGGGGCCTGGGCTGGCATCGATGCCCCCGCTCAGCTTTCCTTTTAATATCCCTTCCCATCGCGGATTAGCAGCGAGGCCGATTGCTGGGATAATCCCACGGGAGTGGGATGCGAGTGCCRGGCCAGGTGGTGCTCCCAGATCCCGCGCAGTTCCCTTTGCGTTTAACACAGGGTGATCGTGCAGCCGAGGTGCCTCTTCTCCCTTGGCTGCGTTTCACCTCTTTGGGCTTGTTGCAACCCGGCTTTGGGTTTATTGCATCCTCTGTCTGCTGGTATCTTTGGCCTCCTCCTCCTCCTCCTCTCCATCCCCACGTGCTCAGCAAGGGAGAACCACGCATTGCTGCCGCGCAGGAGCTGCCGTGCGAGTGCTTGAGAGTCATCGCTGACTTTTGGCTTTTGCTGGGTGTCAGTAGCTCTAAAAAAGGCATCTTTCTACAAAATCATGCGTTTTGCATGCACTAAAGGGAGAAAAAAACACAAAATCCTCCCCGCTTCTCTTGTGTCCCACACAAGAGGAGGAGTGGGGTCTGGCTGGGCAGTCTCAGGGTTGCGGGGCCTTCCCGCCCGCTCCAGTTAACCAGTCCCGAGGTGTTTATCCCCGCAGAGCCAGTTACCGCGCGCRACCGGCCTCGCTCCACTCGGGAATCCCAGCCTTGCCCCTCGCACATGCCTCGGTCCCGGGCTGCAAAATGGTGACGTTTTACCACTGTGGGTGAAACCGGCACGTGCGGACGCCCGGAGCTCCCGCATCCGTTTCTCCTCGGACGCGGGACAAGGGGCACCCCCTTCTCGCCTTCGCGCGCCCCCTTGCCCGGTGGGGATGCTGGTCCCGCAGCGCTTCCTTTTTCGGAGCGGCTCCCGGCGCGCCCGKCTCGGCCCCGTTGACAGGCGGTTATTTATATCCGCTGGCGCCGGGCCCGGAGCCGCCGGCGGAGAGCGGCCCCGGCGCGGGGCGAAGCCGCCCGCTTGTTGCGGCGCCTTCCGGGCGCTTGTACCGGAGCCACCGGTACCCGCTGCACCCCGACGYGGGTTTGCCCTTTCCTTTAGTTTTCCTCTCTAATGTTTTTCCTTTTTTCCCTATTTTCCCTGTTCCGGGGCGGAGCAGCGCTGTGAAGGGAGCAGCAGCGCCGACGGCTCCGTGCGCAGCTCAGGCTCTCGGCAGCCGCTTGGCTGAGGCGCAGGAAGGGCACCAAAAAAAGCCCCGAAATAAATGGTTATTCCTGGGTGCTGGATCTGGGCCGCGTGTTCCGGGATTTTTTTTATTTTTTCCCCTCTCTCTCTCTGGCGCCGTGGCAACTTGTCAACCTAGAAATTAAAAATAAAATGGTGTCGCGGGAGGGAAGAGCCACAGCGGCTCCGCGGGCAGATGGGCCGGCTCAGCGATGCCCCGGTGCCGCTTCGGACCTTGCGTCTTCCAGAGCACGTGCGAGTCGCGCCATGTCCATCGCTTTTCCCCTTCCTGCTCCCTGACGGACCCGATTCCCTCCTGCTCCCAAGGTGTGGGACGCCGACCCRACGCCAGCGCAGCCGGAGACGCGGGATAGCTCCATGCGGACGGCTTGGTGCAGGAGGAKGGAGTGACGCGGAGCCGCGTCCTGCACCGCATCCCGGTGAGCAGATCCCRCCAGGGCCCGGCCTCCTCCTGCCCCGGAGGTGCCGCTCTGGGATGCAGCGCTGTGCCAATCCCATTGGATGCAATGGCCGGGGGGTGTTTAATTTGGGAGCAGAGGCGGGCAGCAAGGTTTGGGGCTGTTTTCCAGCAGAATGAGGGTGCATGGGGGCAGCAGCAGTGCCAGGGGGGTCGTGGCTGTAGCGAACATGCCAGGTCTCCGCGCGGGCGCTGATGGGGCTCCGTGTCCGCAGCCGCCCGTGCCCCATGGCTCAGCTGCGGGGCCGATCCCGGCGCGCGCCGCCCTGACGCCGCCGGCCATGGAGGAGCCGCGCGCCGGCCTCGGCCTCTCGGCCCGCAAGCTCTCGCTGCAGGAGC